CACATAATCATAAATATTCATAATAGATTCAAATATATATTTTCTCTATTATTAAGAATATAATTTAAATTCCGATAATATTTATTTTTGGATTTGCCTGATATGTGTTAGAACATGAGAATTATGATATAAATTGATTTCTACTGCTTTTAAAATCCACGTTAAATAGTATTTTAAAATTTAACGATAACTAATTAAAATTTAAATATTTATTTCATTAATTTTTATAGTATTTATCGAAAAAGCGGTTTGTGGCTAGATCTCTAAGTTTGTGTTTGTAACGAGTATGTATGAGCATAAAATAAAGAACACATAGAGTTTTTTCACGAGGTTCGATTTTTCCTACATCCCCGGGACCTAGTCCAGAATCAATCCATTAGAAAAGATCGCAACCTACAATTGCTATATGGCATACCACCACTCTTTTCTACATGGACAAACTATGAGGATAGGTATCAAGCACGCATGCTTGACAACCAACCAACAGCACCAGTGCAACACCGTCTTCTCAACGGCTGCAATCTTCATAGACAGACCACCATCAATATGGTGGGACGATGCCACACACACATGTGTGCATCTCACAAAGGAACCCTAGGCGCGTAACTCTTTTTTTTTTAACGCCTCTTGCCTTTTATACTACCACCACGAAACCCTCACGTTTCATGTCATGTGGGCTTCTAACCTCTCTCATAATTGGGCTTCTAATTCAATAGGAGCCCAATCTCACTTTTCTCCACGTGTTGGAACAGCTCTACATGTGTTCCAGCGGCTCGTATTCTGATGCTCCATAAACCTCTCTTTCATTTAAAAACCTCTCTCACTTTTTTCCACGTGTTGGAACAGTTCTACATGTGTTCCAGCGGCTCGTTCCTGTTCTAGTTTCTAATAATCGAAACCAAATCAAAAACCAAAATAACCGGAACGGTTTGGTTTTGGTTAACCGAACTCCAACTCTAATACCATCAATAATTTGGAATTATGTAATTTTAACAGCTACGGTAAGTGTCTCATATCTCGAAAATATTTGGACTACAAAGTTATTCTTGTCGCCCTTGTGGGTTTCGTCTCTTTACAGACCGTCCGAGGAAGCCATTTGTATTAGACCCGAAAAGATGGCATGAACATCAACTCTCTCTCGTATCCAAGCCTTCTTTTATTTTCACTCGTGATGCTTGCAGGGTAGGAGATATTAGTCCATCTCTTTGTCTATGTACCCCATTCTTTCACCATCTATTAGGAATGTATCCATGGCCGGTCCTGCGATTTTGGGAACCCTAAATTAAAAAAAAAATTTAGAGGGTTTATAGATAAATTTTTAATTTGGGGGATTTTTCGTAAAAAAAAAAAATTGGGGGCCTATTTTCAATATTAAAAAATCAAAAAAAATTTGGAGGCCCAAGACGCATGCCACTTGAGCCTATGCTCAGGGCCGGCCCTGAATTTATCATCAATCATTATCCAAGATATTTACTAAATCAACCGAAAATGTAA